CCAGTTTTGAAATTACCTTCTCTTTCCATACTAAGTCATATGCTGATTTGAAATCGACGTAAACAGCCGTAAGGGTATTTCTTGCATCAAGGGCATCTTCGATGTGTTGGGAGAAAGTGGCTACTTGTTTGTTCGTTGATCTTTGTGGCCTAAAACCTGCTTGTTCACTCCTAAGAATATTGTTTTTCTTAAGGAACCAGGTGAGCTTCCTGTTAACCATTCTTTTCATAAGTTTAGCCATCGCGCTTACGAGGGAGATAGTTGTCAAAGTTGCTATTGTCTTTGCCCTCTTTTAGTACTGGTATTACTATGGCAACTTTACATATGCATATATTGAGGTCCTTTCGACAGTGGGTTTGTGTCAATGCCAATTGTCACTTCCTCCTTAGACACTTTCTTGTAGTACTCTCTTAATCTGATGACAATTAGGGGCATTAATAGAGACAGACTGCTTGAGACGAAAAAGAAGAAAACTTTCTACAGACTTCACTTATTTGTGAATGTGAGTGTTGTGAATGAGGAGGTGGAGTAGGTGGCATAGTATTTATAAAGACTGCTATCTTGCATTTGTTGTGGCTTTGAGAACATATGATTGGCAGCCCATTCATTCATCCTTCGAACATTTCTTTCATACAGTCACACTGTATGTTGCACATTGTGGGTATATCAGTGAAAGATTATCATCGGTACCTCCATGCTAAGTGTCAATTTGATCTCACCGTGGGCAAACGAGATGCTCAGTACGACAATGTCTCATTTCGAATAGAGGAAAGAATACCAAATCACTCACCCTCCATTCAGCTCTCTTACTCCTTTCCTCTTTTCACATTTTACACTTTCACATCTACTAAAAGTAGTCCATTTCGCACCTTCACAAGTCGTAAGTAGCTCATTCAAACGAACCCTCGTGCGTTGACACTCGATTGGTATTGTCATTAACTGCCAACTACAATTCACTTTCCGCTGTCAACCAACATGTGGGACGTAGTAAATGAGACAGTTTTGAGAAGTAGTGCAAAGAAGAATGAACTAGCATTCCTTTTTACCAATGAATGCTCGTTTTTTGTCCTAGAAATGGTGAAAACATAGTGAATACACATAGATTGTGCGACTTTCTTCACCTCCCCAAAATGTGTCCTTATGCTGAGACCTCTATTCGAACTGAGACATTATCGTACTGAGCATCCCATTTGACCCCGTTGAGATCATACTGACACTTATTACGGAAGTACCGATGATAATCGTTCACTACCATCCTCACAACGTGCAGTATACTGTGTGACTGTAAGTGACTTGGGCTAATTCACAGAGAGAGAGAGCAATATTGCCAAAGCGGATGAACAAGAGTTCTTTTTCATTGTGCTGGGGTGCGCGATAGAATTACCTCCACGTGGTGCACCCTGGTCAACGTATCTTCGTAGGGCAAAAAAGTCTATCCCTCAGCATTCGATTTGTGTTCGATTTTTTATGATTTGGTTGAAACAAGGCTATAAGAGAAATTGCCCTCGTCAGGACAAATCACAACGTCTACAGATCCTCCAGTGGAATGCTGGAGCTATGTCACTGGACAAAAAGATCCAAGTCCAGAAAATCCTAAAAACCTCTGATGTAGACAATTTCATAATTATGGAATCAAACTTTTCGGATGACGAACTGAAGTACTACCGATTCAAAGGTTACATCCTGTACAATCTATCCAATTACCGGCAAGTTGAAAAATGAATTTTGACTGGAGTTAAAGAAAGCCTCACATATCATTACGATCTAATCAAGAGTATGGGCTCGACACAAGACATGTGAAATAATCAGATTAAATGTTTGGAAATGTCACAATCACTTCAAGATACATGCAGTCTATAATCCACCCCAGAATTGTCCCAACTTTGATTTTCTGAACATCTCACACAAATCTGTAGTATAAGGAGACTTCAATGCCCATTCCACCAGATGGGTCTACAAGGCTGCAAACATAGTTGGAAAGGAAATCGAAGACATGCTAAACAGCAATCCTCTGGAACTAATTTACAGCAACGAGGATCCAGCTACACACTTCCACTACAATGGAACCAGAACAACTCCTGACTTATTCATGGCTTCAAGCGACATCAGTGAGCTAACACGCCGCAAAATAATTGACGATCCTGATTCTGGTCACAACCCAGTCATTGCTAGTATTACCATCGGCAGCAAAAGCATGACAAGGAAAGGGCCAACTAAGCTATCATGGAACTTCAAGAAGCAAAAGCCGACAATGAAAGTGCCAACTAAGCTATCATGGAACTTCAAGAACCTGACTGGTCTAGATTCACTAACCTTTTAGACAATGGACTTAACACAAGTCCCCTCAACTTCAACCAACATCCTGACGATCATATCATGAATATTATGATCAGATGTGCAAAGAAAACTACATGATACCACAAATATTATGATCAGATGTGCAAACAAAACTATTTCCCTATTCAAGACTTAACGTTTTCGAGTGTTTTGGTCTATACACCTTGAGGAACTGAAAAGAAAGCGGAACGACCTTCACAAAATTGCTGATCAGACTGGAAGAACGGAAGACGTACAAGCCTGGAGACAGCAGTCGGCTGTCCTAAGACAAGCCATCTTACAAGCTAAACGCACTTTCAAATTCCTGGGTAACCTGCAAAACAACAGAGAAAGACCCAAGAAAGAACCAATACTCTAAAACAGCAAATTACTTACCACCGACACCGAAATAGCTAACTACTTTCCAAGGTTCTATTCCCACAAGCCCTTTTGTCAGAAATTCTTCAAGAGATTTAAAGATACAAAAGTTTGGTGAAATTAAGGAAGACGCAACACCAAATGATGTAAGTAAAATTAAGCAAGACGCAACACTTAGTGATGTACTTTCTGAACCATTCAGACCTTGCGAACTTAATGCTGCGATAAAACAGCTCAAGTGCAATAGGTCTCCTAACGAAGACGGTATTTATCCGGAATTTCTAATTTGAATGGAGCCAAAAGCCAAAAAACCATGCCGACGCTTTTCAACAAAATCCGGGAGACCAGTCTCGTGCCTAATCAATCGAAAGTTGCCATAGTAATACCAGAACTAAAATAGGGCAAAGACCCTTGCAACTTTGACAACTATAGGCCTATCTCCCTCACAAGCGTACTGACTAAACTTATGAAAAGAATGGTTAACAGGAAGCTCACCTGGTTCCTTGAGACCAACAATATTCTTAGGTGTGAACACACCTGGTTCCTTGAGACCAACAATATTCTTAAGGGTGAACAAGCAGGTTTTAGACCGCAAAGATCAACGAACCAACAAGTAGCCACTTTCTCCCTTTTTAGGTCACAATGATCAACGAACCAACAAGTAGCCACTTTCTCCCAACGGAGACCAAGCAACCCACCATTCTTGCACTCTCAAGTAGTCACTTTCTCCCAACACATCAAAGATGCCCTTGAGCGAGAAATTTCTTACGGCTGTTTTCGTCGACTTCAAATCAGCATATGACCGATAGAGAAGCTAATTCTAAAATTGGCAAAGATTGGTATTAAAAGAGAAGCTCTTCAAATCAGCATATGACTTAGTATGGAAAGAGAAGCTACTTTGAAAATTGGCAAAGATTGGAATTAAGCATAACATGCTAAATTGGATAAATCTTACGGCTGTTTTCGTCGACTTCAAATCAGCATATGACCGATAGAGAAGCTAATTCTAAAATTGGCAAAGATTGGTATTATTTTCGTAGACTTCAAATCAGCATATGACTTAGTATGGAAAGTGATTTCAAATCAGCATATGACTTAGTATGGAAAGAGAAGTTCTTCAAATCAGCATATGACTTAGTATGGAAAGAGAAGCTACTTTGAAAATTGGCAAAGATTGGAATTAAGCATAACATGCTAAATTGGATAAACCAGCATATGACTTAGTATGGAAAGAGAAGCTAATTCTAAATGGCAAGATTGGTATTAAGCATAACATGCTAAACTGGATAAAATTTGGCATTAAGCATAACATGCTAAACTGGATAAAAGCAATCATTGGACAAAGATCATGTAAAGTCAGATATGGCAATGGAACAAAGATCGTGTAAAGTCAGATATGGAAATGCTCCATCAGATCTCTTACAAACAGGCCTTCCACAGGGAGCTGTCACAAGCTGCATACAGGCCTTCCACAGGGAGCTGTCACAAGCTGCACTCTTTTTTCCACAGGGAGCTGTCACAACCTGCACTCTTTTCAATGTTGACAGGGAGCTGTCACAAGCTGCACTCTTTTCAATGTCTTCATCGATGGACAGTTATGGACGTCAAGTGCTCACTTTATGCAGATGATCTTGATCTATGGTATTCCACACCTAAGAAAAACGCTCAGGAGAGGACAGAAAGTGGCCTAACTGTGAGATAAACGCTCAGGAGAGGACAGAAAGTGCCCTAAATTGTAAACTTAAACTACTAGCAAACTGGTGCGACAACAATGGAATCACTTATGCTACTAGCAAACTGGTGTGACAACAATGGAATGGTAATTATTGGGAGAGGACAGAAAGTGGCCTAAATTGTGCACTTAAACTAAAAACAAACTGTTGCGACAACGTATTGGTAATCAACACCGCAAAAACTGCATTTCAAACATTTTATATGCCCCGTCACAGCATAAAACGCTTCTAAGGTACAAGGATTCTATCCTAGAAAGAACCAATGAGTTCACTTATCTCGGAATGACGTTTGATACAAAGCTAACGTGAAATAGTCACATTAATAAAATAGCAGAACAAATCTCCAATAGACTGAATGTACTGAAGCGTCTTGCTGGTGGCGTATGGGGCTGTACACGCTCAACTCTCAACACCACTTTCGAGATGTTTATTCAGCCAATAATGTTGTATTGCTGTGAGTACAGCCACAGAGTTATTGTTCTGAGCCACTCATTACAGCCACAGAGGTGACTCTCAAACGCCTCGAGAAGGCACACAACCAAGCATTACGACTAATTACTTCACTCGAGAAGGTACACAACCAAGCATTACGACTAATTACTGAGGGGATAAAATCAGCATCTATAAATGCAATGCTATTAGGTTGGAAACTAAGTCATTATCAATTTCAAATAAAAAGGCAAATTCGGAATTTTTGTTTAAAAATATAACTTTATTCAATTAGATATTGGCCATTCTTGTCGATGACTTTTTTCCATCGTTCTGGCAGAGTAAAATTTCCCCGTTCGTAAAATGTCTGGTCTTTGCTATTAAAAAACTCAATTAGGTGTGATCCGACATCATCTGCGTTGTTAAAAATTTTACCATTTAGAGTTTTGCATGGAACAAAACAAATGGTAATCCGAAGGCGCAAGGTCAGGGCTATATGGTGGGTGTGACAAAACATCCCAACCCAGTTGCAATAATTTTTGCCGAGTAACTAAAGATGTGTGGGGCCTTGCGTTATCATGATGGAAAACAACACCCTTCCGATTTGATAATGCCGGCCGCTTATCTTCAATTGCTTCCTTCAGTTTTTCGAGTTGTTCAACATACACATTTGAATTTATCGTTTGGTTCTGCGGCATGAGTTCAAAATACAAAATTCCTTTGTGATCCCACCAGACCGACAGCATAATCTTTTTTTGTGAACCTCTGCTTTTGATACTGTTTTGGCTGGTTGATCTTGCTTCACCCATGATCTCTTGCGAGTAACATTGTTATAAACTATCCACTTTTCGTCGCCAGTAAGTAACTAGGTTCTTCAGAAATGGATCATTCTCATTGCGTTTCAGTAGCGAATCACAGATGCTAATTCTTTGCGTCAAATGAATTTCCTTTAACTTGTGAGGGATCCATAAATCAAGTTTCTTGACATAACCAAGGGTTTTTAATTTTTTTTCACAATGCATGTATGCGACACATTGAGCTTCTCTGCAATATCTCGTGTTGTGCTGTGACGATTTGAATCGATAATGGCCTTGATATGGGTTTCATCCACTTCGACTGGGCGGCCAGATCGTTGTGAATTTTTCATTGAAAAATCACCGGAACGAAATCTTTCAAACCAATTTTGACACTGCATTTCTTTTAAGGCTTCATCTCCATATACGGCGCATAACTTCTTTTGTGCTTGCGATGCGTTCTTGCCTTTTCGGAAGTAATACAATAAAATGTGTCGGAAGTGCACGTCCTGTTCTTTCATTTTTAAATTGGGATAAAAACAAAACTAAAGAACTAAACGAAAAAGATTTTGTTAAGAATTAACCTAGAAGCCCATACAGTAAGAAAAAAATATAGGTTAGATGCTCTGGCCACGTTAACAAAACAAAAGAAAGTATAGAGTGAATCTGTCAACAAAAACAGTAATGACTTAGTTGCCAACCCAATATTAGTTACAGGAAGTCCCACAATATCTATCCTTATCAAAGTAAAGGCCTTGATCCTGTATAATAAGCTACTGTGCATTCCCATGGATACGTTCTTCAGCACCTATGAGAATAGACCAAAACATCTGAAACTTCTTCAGCACCTATGAGAATAGACCAAGACATCTGAAAATAGCACCTATGAGAATAGACCAAAACATCTGAAAACGCATAGAAACGAAGAAAGAATTACAAATCGGTGACAAACAAAAAGCCTTTCTCTCTCCATGAACCCATTAACAGACACAGATGTAGTGTGTTGCACCCAACTGCTTGATGTCTTCAGAAAATCAAACACCCCTCCAGAGCAAATGCGCTCATTTTTCAGGAAATCACTAGACAATCAATGTCAACTATCCTGCAGATCAATGGCTCCAGTGATGTTAACTATCCTGCAGATCAATGGCTCCAAGTCTTCACCTGGAACTATCCTGGAGATCAATGGCTCCAAGTCTTCACTGATGTTAGATCAATGGCTCCAAGTCTTCACTGATAGGGCATACATAGAAAACCAAGCAAACATTGGTGCGGGCGCCTTTTCTGAACTCTCCTATTTCTACGCAGCAGCCGAACACAACATAGATCCGCTTTTGAAGGAGAAATAGAGGCCATTAGGATAGCACTATGCCAATTATGTTGCCTGGATTGGGAATTCACCAAAGCGGTGATACTTTTGGACTTACAGTCAGCAATAGACTCAATTGAAAACAGAGAGCCACCCATAACAGCTGAGATATAGGAATGTAGAAAACGCTATCAGCTGCTGAGGGAGAAAAACCAACAGTGGTCCTACAATAGATTCCTGGTCACTGTGGCATTAAAGGTAATGAGTTTGCTTACACACTTGCTAAGAAGGGGACAACGATTTTGCAATGCATGGACCGGTCGATGTCTTTCCACACAATGAAGGCCTTAACCATGAGAGAATTCCAGACCTCAAGTTGCAACGAACTTAAAGCTCGAAAAAAGGAGAAACAGTGGACAATGGCCTTCTCCGACATGGCCGACTGGCCAAGAATCGATGCCCGTTGCTGAGTTTGGACTACGTTTCGCACACGATTGCTTGGCAAAATACCTTCACAGATTGAGAGTATGGAGTCCGCAATGTCAAGTAATGATTGGTCAGTTTGCTTAATTAATTAGTGAAATATCCGATTCGGGCACATATCATTAAATCCTTTAACGCCCGAAGTAATTTTTGAAAAACTCTCCCAACCCCACTCACGCATGTCTCACAGTAGACAGCAGACAGATGTCGCCGACGAGATGGGTTT